TAACATTACCGTTGTGAATGGCTCAGTAAAGGATAAGACTTATTTATTACAAACTGCAGCTGATGATTCTGAAAATCATATCAGAGTGGCCACTGGTCATGGAAATCATGGAAATATCATGGAATTTTGTTTAATCATGAAAAAAGTTATGGAATTCTTAAATTTTTATTGAAAGTAATGGAAACTTCATGGAAATTTTTAAAATAATCTTTATTTTTTTCAACTTGTGATATTTTTAGGATGCAAAGAAAAGTACTAGTATATCTAGTTTTAGTCCTTTTTGAAAAATTGTTAGTTATAAAAGAAGTAAAGAAAAAGAGTTTTTTTCAGACATGATATCAGAACTTTCTACCAATTAGTTTTTGGTTAACATGTTTTATAATGACCAAGTTGCAAATACTTAGTGCATGGCAAGTACTGAATATTTTACTCGTGTGATTTATCATTAAAAAAAAAAAAAGTCATGGAATTTTATTTTCAAATTTGAGTGGCCACCCTGTAAAATATTTAGTTTTAATAAAATTGTAAAATATGTTTTTTAATAAAGTTTTTCATTATTTTATAACCAAAAAAAGCAATAAAATTTCATTAGTTAAAATTAAAAACTTTTGAAAGTACTGAGTGTTTAATTTTCTTTTTTTAATTTCTTCTTTTCTTTTATTTCCCTGCATATATGTAAAGCAGTTGATCATCAACTTTTATTTAAATTTTCACTTAGCTTCTTTTAATGATAGTCATCGATGGATCATCTCAAATATATCAAACACAATGTCAGACAAAGTTGCAGTTAACTATCTTACCATAAGCAAACAGTGTGACACTTAAGGGGAAAGTTTGAATGAGCTAAACTGTCATTTACACGCTCTTGATATAATTGCTACCTCATAGCTGGGTATGATTGTATGCCATTTAAAATAGTTTTAGCTATGAAAAAGTTGAGGTTTACACATGGCAAAGGTGATCCAAAAAGATTTGTTAGTTTTTAAATTATCAAAAACTACTACGAGGTATCCTTCCAAGGTATCGAGGAAATCATCTTCATATTTTTTTTCATACTTGTTTTATTTTTATAAAACATTTAATGAGTTTGAGCATTTTTTATCCATTGGAACAGTAAAATGCAAAACTCTACAAACAGTTCTTAAAGCAGCATTTTGTAACAACACAGTTCTAAAGCAAAAGTGTGTGCTTGCATTATTTGGAAAACCACCTCCTCAAAGTCACATAAAACTTTGTCATCCAGTTTCCAGCCTGGATGACAAAGTTTTGTGTGACTGTTGAGGAGGTAAATTTTGACTATTTTAGTGGAATCCGGGTATTAAAAAATGTTTTTTTTTTTTGAAATTGCAGATTCTAAATCAAATCCGGGTTCACTTTTTAAAATGACCTTAAACCAAATATTTTAGATCCAATAAAAAATGTTTTGCTTGATTGATGAACACTTTATCAATATGACTTTTGCTTGTCTTATTGCAGTGGGAGACATCATAACTCATCAATGTAAGAGATATTTTTTCCTTTCTATTAACCAGACTCTCAAAGAGGAGGTAGCATGTGCAAGGCTTCACAATATAAATAGTAAAGAGTTAATAGGAATGTTTAGTGAGGCTGAATAAAGATCACTTGATGCAACAATTTGTTATATTTCATACAAATTAAAATTACCTAGATAGTTTAGATCAATTATCTAGAGCAAATGTAGTTATGTGGTCTATTTAGAAACCCATAAAAAGAGGATGATAAATCAAATGAAGCATAATGATATATGAGCAGATATTTCAAAAAAACATGCATGCAAATGCCAAAAAATGAATGAAAAAGACAAAAGAAAGTTAAAATGACAGTTGCATGAACTCTCTTACAATGAAATAAAGAGTTTAAATACATTGTCTATCAAACAATTGGTACGATAGTGAGAATTTGAAGTATGTCATGTATAATGCTAGAGAAGAAAAACTTGAAAAAAAAACAAGACAAAGTTTACACAATTTCTTACTGGAATAAAGATAATATTGATACTGAAGCTGTTGACTATAACATGAAAAAATTACAGCTTCCACTGATGTTGAACCAGGAGAGTTGATCTTTTTTTGAAGTGTAATATGTAACAAATTATTATAATATTACTTGTAATGAAGCTTTCAAAATAGATACCGCAAGTAATGAAACTTGCAAAACAGATACAGCATATGATGAAACTTGCATAAAGGTATCACAAGTCATAACACTTGAAAAGATAGTCATATCAAGTATACCAGGTAGTAAACCATATGTTTTTATTTTACTTTTTTTTATAAATGTTTTTAGAGAAAAATAAAAGTATTTGACTTGGAATGACCTTTGCACAAGTGTTGTGACTTGCAAAATATTTTGATAGGCGGCTCTGGCTAATTATCGCGTGGTGTCTATCGTTACAAGTGATTATTATAGTGTTCCATTTATGAAATTGATTATTTTAATTATTTACTAAAAGCCAAGACAACTATTTAAACTTAGGATA